GTATGTCCTAATGATAATTTATACTGCAACAAATATCCACACTATAAAATTATGTATACATATAGGCAGCAATATATACGAGTAGGTACGAATAAAAATAAATGTATGTATATTGGGGTTATTTTTATTGTATTCATACATAAATTAAAATCATTTTAGACACTGTGATAAATAAATATATATTTACTAATATGTAGATGCAACTGTATGTACATACTCGTAACGTTCTACATTTCTATGTGTGATATCGTGATATTTTCTCGAATCCATATTATATACCTATATACAATTTCAAATAAAATTTTAATGGATCATAAATGGTGTTCTGGATCATTGAATTATGCCTACTTATTCATAGGTTTGTCATTTGTCGAAATCTCTCGGGATGTAGCATTACTTTAAGGACATGACAGTATTTGACCTGTATGACCTGTAGACCTGTATGTATTTGTATCACGTTTTGAACATCTAGATATAAAATTTAAAGTGCAAGTTTTAAATGCGTTATGTTATGCGTACTAAATATAAACACTGTATATTTAAAGAAAAAATATAATAAAACATAACGTGTCTTTTAGAAAGAAAATAAAAAAAATATGATTATGACTTTATAATTAGATAGATTAATGAGAAGCGTTAAAATTTTGTCGTCTGATGTTTTGCCGTTGCAGTGAACGTACTTGACCTCGATATACCCACATTTCCTCGATCATAATTATTAGAATGTATATAATTACGAGTATTGTACCGTTTTATTTTTTATACTTTTAAGTCTAAAAACACTGGCGTGTAGATGAATCAAGATATGTTTTGTACGGTGAAGCCTTCGGTATTGGATTCTTACTGCCTATTTTATTTATTTATTTATTAGTACAAATATGTGTACATGGCGGACTTAATGCTAAAAGCATTCTCTCCCAGTCAACCATAGGGAAGTGTCAGAATACTCGAATGCGGTACTACTAATTATTGATATGCATACATACTAAAATTACATATATAAACGAATAAATATATATGAATGACAAATATAGGTACTTACACATATATGATATATACTATATTATACATCTTATCTTGTAAGGAAATAAATATTATCTAGATTTTTCCATTAACACAACTAATCGATTTTTTATATATACCTATTTCTGTTGGATATCTACAGACTGTCATATGGTCGATTTAATAATTTGTTTGTTTACATTTTTATTAAGCTCTACTTAAACAGATCATATTTAAGGCATTTGTATTTAAAAGGACGAAAACATGTCTTCATTCTAGTTGCTACTAATGTCCAGGTAGGCGCATACCGACATTCTTCAAGCAATACAGCACGAATACGGACATTGTGTGCGCGGTGGCGGCGAGGACAAGTAATATTTTACAATAGTAAAATATTGTTTAGAAAGCTTTAAGCTTTCTAGTGGACTTGGTTCCACGCATTATGCATAAAGCAAATAAAATTTATATATACTATGCTACACTATGCCATACATAGTATGTATGTTATCTACATAATTTTAATTTTATTTTTATTAAACAATCGTCCAAGACAAAGAAACTGTGTAGAATTGATAAAATTGGTTTTTTTATCTTGTCCCTGTTCCGCCATTGGATGTTTCGTTTTATTCAATCAATCAAAAATAATAAGGTGAGGGTTTAAGATGTGCATTTGATCAGAGCACAGTTATAATGTAAAAACAAACGATACATATTATTCTATTTCTAAAACGGTAATATAATATAAAAAAAAACTGCATGTTATTCTCATTGAAGGACTAATACAATCTTCATAGAATATTAATATTGTATTATTCATGAGTAGGTATGTTTTTTTGTATATTTTTTGTATACCTAGTATAATTATTCAATTGTAAAAAATGTGTTATAGGTAGGTCTGTTCTTCAGTTAATACTAGATATACCCAGAATGGATTAATTATTTTATTACTAGCCATGTGATATCTCTATAGAAATAAACGTCAAATTGAAAAGTCATCAAAACTTGAATTGGTGTCGCTTGAATAAAAGAGAAGCTTTTTTAATTGACTTTAAAAGAGAAGTATACTAGTGAAAAAAATATGTAGTAGGTATTACCTTTTTGAACAAAAATGAGAAATTTCGTAATTGGACTGAAATATATTACGTGTAATTGATAAATTAATTATATATTCATAATACCATAACAGTAAATAATTTTCTTTTTTTGGAACTAACGATTGCATTATAATATAAATATAAGGCAATCCGTAAAAAATAACTGCAGCCTGTGATTTAACATTTTTGTACTGCAAAGAAATAAAAAAGCATGGGGTGAATGCACTCGAAAGTGCATGTGTGGTGCAGTCATTGAATATATTGAAGGGGTCTCTATTGAGGGCAATGCTCGCACACGAGTTGACTTGCTCAGACATCCCGTATTACATTATTAATTGCAGTCAAGATCATAATAATAATATCGTTTGGAGTTTTAGTGATTACACAAAAAAGTTTATTGTAAATTGCCACATGTTAGCTATTAACAACAGTAATAAAAAAACATTTACAATGGAAAACGATTTGGATGACATTTTTATTATTCCAAACAGGAATAGCAAACAGTCAATATGCGACTATAACAAATCATTCCTTTTTCATAATATTGTTATATTCTATAAAACCTCCTATTGTAGGCAGCACTAATAACATTGTATTAAAATAACTATAAACCAGTAAAAAAAAAATACAGCAAATAATAAACACGTAAAACTATAAATATCTACCAAATATTTATCTTTAGTGCATTCCCTATGTCACAATAATTACTACAACACTTCTACTACATTTGGATTATCCTTATCTCTACAATTTTCAAAATAAATTCTCTCTAATATTTATTAACTTAATAGACTATTATTTATTTTACCATAGTTGAAGATGTGTTGTACCATCCTAACACGGTAGCACCGTGTGTGGTCTGATTTTCCTTAATTTTAAAAATTATTATATAAATAAATTTTAGCATTATTATAGCTTTACAAGTAGTGTACTAGTACTGTAGTGTCTACTTAGAAAACTATTGATCTATCCAATCAACCCACATCAACCCACTGTTGGGCATAAGCCTCCAATACGATTATATCACGCCAGTTGTAACGGTTCTGCGCTAACTTCTTCCGCTGTTTTCTCACTACCCTCACAATGCCATCTGACCATCGGTTTTGTGGTCTATCAATTGTTCTCTGTCCCTATCTTCTATATCTCTATATTTTTTTTTTCTTATTTAAGGCACTACTTACGCTCATTTAAAGTGATTATTTAAATACACTGTCGTAGTATGTTGCAAATTCCTTATCTTAACATTGAGTTGAGATAATAGGAAACCGAACTTCCTTTGGATATAACTTGACATAAATGTGCATGTGATCATTTTTAAAGGTTAGCAAATTTGCTTTGATACTCTCGGCCATAGATGTGTAACAAATTTTATTTATTATTTACACTTTATTGCAGCATTTAGAAAATAATAAATGTTGTAAATTTAAATGAGAAGTGATACTAAAGGTGGCCTTATCTCTTCCAGATAATCTTTGGGTAGGGGACATTGAGAAAAAAGACAAATAGGAGATGGTGCTAATAATACTAATGTAAATTTACCCAGCTGTTTAAGCGTAATTTAGTAACAAACATCTTCACAAACTTTTATATTAATGATTTAAGATTACCTATTTATAAACCTCACAAGAAATGTTATGCCATTTTGAATGTGCGTCAATCACTTCATAAATTATCTAGATATGATTTTATATGAATAATTGATAGTGTAAACACCATCTATTGTAAACATGTATAAATTTATATTAAAATTTAGATTTCAAGATGTAAAATAAAAAAATGAAATACTTCAATAGCTAAAATAAATTTATTTGTATAAGGTAATTTATATAGACTACCACTCTTTTGAGAATCCACTGCTAAGTAATTGAAAGATTCATAGTAGCATTGAAGTCTTCCAATAGTTACTTCTACCTTTACCAATGAATTATACGAATGTCAATTTTAATAATATAATAAAATTGTAACTACACGATAATATTTATGATGACATAGATATTTAAGAAATTTTGTCTATCTATTTATTCTTATATCACCCAAAAACTACTGCACCGAAATAGATGTAGTTTTTACAGGTATGTATGTTTCTAAAGATGTAATTTAAAATATTATATATGTTTTATTTTGATACGTTATCTACAAATCGTCTACTGCGTTGGTTTCTCTTTCTTCCTACTTCTATTACGCCGTATAAATTTAAATAAATGCCATAACTGCATTATTTTACACATCCTAACTGACTTTTGCTAAATGCCATTTTCTAAATATTTTAAATTTCAATAAACTGTAAGAAATTCGACAAAAACAGCGATCGTTTAGGAATGAATGCTATATACATAACATTAAATCCATTTTTTTTATATTTATTTTTATAATTTAGTCAATATAGAATAGATAAATAAATAGCTTTAGAGACTGTATTTTTGAAAGAGTTTAATTCGCTTCACACACGGTGCCGTGTACCGCTGTGGAGGTGTCGCCGCATTGAAACAGTGGAATTTTTACACAGAACGGCGCAGCGCCTGTGGCAGGCGCCTTATACGAGGAGACCTATGCAAAGTTTTGTAATACTTTGGTATTATAAAAGCAGTAGTTAAGTAAACTTTGCTTTTATTATAAATCACTTAGTTTTCATATGATTTGTGGAAATTGCAGTGTCCATATATGTAACTATGTCTATAAACATATACTTACACATAAATACATAAATTATCACTTTATATAAATGGATTGCCCACCTGTCTACTAAGCGTGGCAACTACTGGCAAAACGCCCTATTACAAGGGGGGAGGGCTATTGAGCCAGCAATGGACTGTTAACGGCGGATATGATAATGATGATGATTAGGTGGATTGTCAGTTTGTTTACTATTATAAACTGTATAAAAAATTAAAGATAGATACTTACAGCGTCAGTGGTGTGACCACAAACACGATATGTCGGCGTACTCAACCCATCGGGATGGAACTGTGAGCTGCGTTGGGAGACGGTCGACCACTGATCTAGACCGCGACTGATCTGCAACAACACAAACAATTACGTTACACATTACATACATCACCTTATCTTTGGAGCACTGAACATAGTTCCAGCGATTGATGTACTTTCCATAAATATAACAATAAATAATAACATAAATTTATTTATTTTTCCCTCATAGGTATAGGTTCGCTAATGCGATAAATTAAATTTACTAATTTTTTTTTCGTAATCAACGAACCAAACAAAGGGGGGGGGGAGAGGAAAGGCATTGTTAGCAATGGGAATTAGCAACCCTATTACTAACAATATACGTCGACCTGATAGGGTATCAGGTCGACCTCTTCGTGGTTCCCCATAGAAACCATCGTCATTGACTCATTAGTGAATTTGTTACGATGGGCTGACTAAGCCGCTTCATCTGCACTTCCTCACGGGTGCCCCGCCAGTGTATACCGATCAGGCGCGGTAACCATTTTATTATCATTAATTAAAACAAAAAACTCCTAAGAGAGTATATATAGGGTTTTGATTTCGAGTTTTCCCTCTTTTATATTTGAAGTTACATTCTCTTGGTTTGTTTTCTCACAACGCTCAATCTACTGGAGGATGGCAGATATTATTACACGATATTTCATAACATAATAATTATACCATACCTACATAAAGAATTTGATAAAATATCTGATAATCACCTCCATTGACGTGACATCTCGCAAATTTTGTCTGTACGAATCTATTATGTTTTGCCCTAAACTTGTCTTTATTCCTACTTCGAGCATAGCAACAATTAACACGCTGTTATCGCGTGGAACGTGTTTAACGATATTAAGTGTCACATAATGAGTGTCACACAATAAGAAAGCTCAACCAATTGCCTGGCCTAACAATTATTGGCGGGCGACGACGGCGGTTACCCGACTCTTATAGCATTGTCATAAGTGTTATGGTAATCACCTAGTGAGGTATAAACAAACCATTGTCTGCGAAACGAGATGAGTGACATTTGCCGCCCACCAAGTCAAGGGTAAATGGTGTAAAGTCATCTCCAATTTGATAAATTTATTAATAGTTGATGATAAATCGTAACTTTTTTCCTACGATTAGAACCTGGGTCACTATATCTCAGATAAAGTAAATGAGAAAATTTATATATTGTATGTTAAAATTATTGAGTAAATGTCCTATAATAAAGAAATTACTTATTATAAAATAATCCGTATGGAGTTAAAATACAATGTGTCACATCTTCTTTTCATTCCTAAGATTAAAATGATGTCGGACTAAATAATAAAATAAGGTACACTACGAGTATGTGCAATATATTCTTTGATGCCCATAGTGTTATATTTTTGGTGGATATTGATGGTGTTATATAGTAGTTAATTTTTTAACTATTATAAGTTATTTATTTATTTATTTAACACAAAAATCAGCCACAGCTCTTAAAAACGCAACTTACATGCTGTCTCTTATAAATACGGGCAATAACGGATTTTATATATACAAATGAAAACTATTATTCTACAACAAAGTAGGTAAGTTAAAGTGGTTGTAAAATCATATTTACTTCTTATTTAATAAAAAAATCTTTAAATAAGTATATAATATGTAGGTAATTCCTTATTGAAAGTTGTTATTTTGTGGTGCAATCGACTAGTACTAACAATACAAAGCCTTGATAAACCAACAGGTCAAATATGTATTCAGCTTCGGTTTGTAATTACAGATTTCACTCAAACGACGTTTTCTAAATCAGCTAATGATCTTGTGGTTTGAAAGTCCAGGGTTCAGTTCTCGGGTCAAGCAAAAAGTGTTATGTTATTAATTAAGTATACTTATACCTAACTGTACCTATAAATACGAGTAAATGAAGTTTGTAATTAATGATTGATAATTAATATAAACGTAACGTGTTTACAAGTTTTCAATACCATTATATAAACAGTAGATAATATATTTTTTTACATAGAGCTAGCATAAAGTTGACTAATATATACGGTTGTCATTCAATATCACAGTGACCCTTTTTTCTGTTTGCTTGTCACCGTAACAATTGCACTACTATTAACAAAATTTATGGATACGTACATTAATATAACAACTCCAAGTTGGGGGGAAAGGGATTCTTAGTAACAGACCCTATCTGGTCGACGTCCACGCGTTTCCCCCTGGAAACTATCGTGGTTAATTCTAGTGGAATTCGTCACGATAAACTAACGGACCTGCTTTCATTATCACCTATCACCCCTCACTTGTGCTCTGTTAGCGTATACCGATAACGCAGGCGGGGTTTCCATTTTATTATCACCCATTAAAAAAAAAACAACCCCAAGCTTCATTTTCCCGTAAAAAGTTAAATATTCAATTCATATTTGGAATATAAAACGCTCTTGATGAAGAGATAATTGTGCATTTAGGATTTTTCGTATATCAATAATAACGTAGTTGTATATTATAAGGTATTAGATAGTGGGCGTATATTACGACGTGATAGCTGAGAGATAGGATACTTACCTAACAATAATTATGACTAAATTATTACAGTGACAAAATTAATTGTACGTGCTCGATCATGAATTTAGAGCCAAAGTCCAACTGTGTAAAATAAAATATTTAGAAAACAATAATGTTAGCCTTCTGTTTTACTACCACTGTTCATAGCACCCCAATGTATTGTGCGTTGAAATTAACGCAATTCCAAAAATTTTGAACTTACATTTTTATCTCTTCTACGGTTATATTTCTGTACAAACTATTAAGGGGAGGGTAGGTTGGCCTACAGGAGTTCCTCTAGAAATAATCTTTTTTATGCATCTTAAAAGAACAAACAAGTTCACGGTTCACCTGATGGAAAATAATAGCCGTCGCCTATAGACATGAACAGTGCCATAGATATAACAGAAAATACTGTTTTGCCATACCCTTCATGCGTTGTTATTCCTGAGAACTAAGTTTTTATATATTTGTACACTGTAATTTAATTGCCCACCCTTCAAACCGAAATACAGTCATGCAAACATAACTGCTTCACTGCAAAACAATTTTCCTATAGAAGTTTTTGTTGCCAAAGTTTTCTATAGAAATGTATTGATTAGCATATATTTACATACTTATCTTAAAGTTGTAAAGGTAGGAAACCTTCAATGTTGAACCAAACTAATACCAAATGACTTGTTATAATTATATCATTAACTGCATTTTTGTTCGCTATTTTGTAGGCGTGGATTTCAGAAGTAGAAAAATCAATAAAAAGGACTACTACTAGATGGCGCATCAAGATAAAATATATACTAGATTTTAAGTTACACGGAGTTACAAGAAGAAATAAATATACAACAGGCAGAGAGAACAAATTTCTAAAAAAATACTGTTTTGGTTTTTACTGCCTTTATTAAAACTTCTCTCATTATTTTTTCTACAATATTTTCCATGTACAAACATCATATAGTTACAATTTTACTATATTAGCAAGATAGTAATGCCAAAGTAATATCAGCAGTTTTATAGTAATAATAAAGATACCAGTAATAAAGTGAGATCATTTGTTTATCAAATACCATTTATTTTGTAATAGAAATTTTAATACAATTTTCTACTTTATTATCGACGCCACTATAAATCTGAAAAAATCTAGAGCAAGAAATTTATGACTCACAAAAATTTTTACATTATATTTTTCTTTTATTATATTAGACCGATAAACAAGCTAGTTTTAATAGTTTCTAAACTTTATTTATTATTCTACACATACGCGTGATAACTCACAGACAGACTACCTATCTTATTGTATAATTCATTCTAAGAATGTAGCTGTATGTAGCTTCGTGTTTAAGTATAGATTTAATTATTTAAATACATCCCCATATTCATTTATTCCTTTCTTCCCCGTGGATGTCGTAAGAGACGAATAAGGAAACTTAAAGGTCGAGGTATTGGCAGCAGTGTCGCTCTTTAAACTTTACCAAAGCCTAACTGCGATTGTCAACATACATGCAAATACTACTAGTATAAATAATAATATGGGAGAGGTGATGATATATTATGATGATAAATTATAAGAAAGAAAATAAGGAGATGAGGGAATCCAAGGCAGATCAAGAAAAAAGTTGGTATCGTGTCGTATCAAGAGGTGAAAATCGCAGTGAGTGGCAAGAACTCCACCGACAAGAGCGCAGCTTTTAAATAGGATTGATAGAGGGGAAAGGGATTGTTAATATTGGCCCCCATAACCAGCAATGTACCATATCAGGCCAACCTCCAAGGGTTCTCCCTAGAAACCATCTTGATTAATTCTTTATGAATTCGTCACTATAAGTCAATTGACCTGTTTCATCCTGATCTATCATCCCTTACTGGTGCCCTGCCAGTATATACCGATATCGCGGGAGGTGCCATTATAAAACTTAAAAAAAAAATAGAATAAATAGAGATACATATTCTAATAAGGATTCTATTGCAATTCAATTGAGGACTTTATAAAATAAATAAAATATTAAGATTGAACATATGGTATATTAGGAAAATAAATGCACTACAAATAAATTAAAAGGCTATGAATTTGTGACGTTTATAATCTTGACAATGCAAATGGCAAATATTATTACGATGTAGGAAAACGATTCTAATGGCATTCTGTGCTCATTTAAGGATTTCCTTGTTCTATTATCAGAAAAATAAACACAAATAAACGATAAATCATGAAACAAACATGTTACTATTATGTAGGTACGTGCTAAAACCAGAGATGTGACTTATTTGTCAAATACAATCCGCGTAAAATTATAACAGTCAATATTATTCTTCGTTTCGTTTCATGACTAGAGATATTTTATGAGAAATAATCGTTAAATAGATATATTGAAACTTCATAAAATCTTAAAAATAACACTATGTTAACTACAGATGGGCAAAGCACCGGGTTTAAACCCGGTGCTTTGGTAAAAACCCAATAAACACCCATAAACTCCCATAATCACCCAAAAAAATAGGTTCTTACGTATTTTTTTGAAAATATGTAAGTAATACCAATAAATTAT